CTTTGCGCTACATCGCGCGCGCGGCGCCGCCGTGGCCGTCGAGCCCCAGCAGGGCGAGGGCATCCACGAGCTCGCTGCGTTTGTCCACGAGACACCTCGCGTCGACGCGTCCGCGCGTTCTTGTCTATTCCGACAGATTTCTTCTCCCACCGCGCAGCGCTTGAACCCGTTGAGCGCGCTCTACGAGCCGTTGAGATACTCGCCCCGGTTCCCGCGCGGCGGCCGGTTGGTTCCCGCGCGGCGGCCGGGGGTGGAGCGCCGACGTTCGAACGAACGCGGGGCGCCGCGTCGCGCAGGAGCGGCGGCGGCGCCAGCGCCTTGCACGAGCGACGCACGTGCATGCATGTGGCAGGCACTTGATCGGGTGGCTCGTGAACATGCGCTGCAGGATGGGTGATGAGAGACTCAGGCTCGCTCGCAGAGCGCAGGCCAGACGAATTGCGAGAAGAACAAACATGTGCGAAACGCTGGCCAACGACGCGCCAGTGCCTGGCACGAGTACCTACTTGCCGCCCAACGCGCCTGGGCCTCCTCGGCGCCCGCGCAAACTCCGAATGGACTCGTTGGAGCTTGCTCGGCGCAAAGGCCCGCCGACCTTTCCAATCGCTCTGACCTGCGACCCGGGCTTCCCGAGATCACTGCCGCCTTGCGCGCGGGCCAGACAGCGGCAGACCGACCAGACATCGCGGCGCGTGTCTTTCGCGCTCGCTCGGAGCGGATGATGGATTACCTCGAGCGCAATTTCTGTGGAGACCGCAGATATGTCATCCGTGTCATTGAATGCCAGCGCCGATGGGCCGCCCCGCGCTCGAGTTGCTTGAGCCTTGACAGCGCCGCCAACCACGCCCGAATCCGCGGGCGCTGTCATCTCCAGCGGATTGCCAAGGGGCGGCCCCGTTCGCGCGCGCGCTCCTGCTTTGACGCATGATTCACTCTTGTAACCGCTCCTGCCACCCCGACGGGCCTTCTCAGGAGCGCATCAAGGGCTGTCCTCGGCGGTTCCAACACGACGCGCCCTTCGATGACCGAGGTCATCCACGTCGCCGTCGTAGACGTTGCGGAGGCCATTGCCCAAATTGCGTTTGTGGCACCGCTACTTGCGGAACGCGGCCTGTTTTCTGCATCCGGCCCATCGCGGGGAACAGCGCCGCAATCCAGTAGCTCTGGGGCGGACGCGCGAATATCAAGTTCGCCGGATCCGTTAAATTGTCCCAGTATTTGTACAAATATTTTGTCAAAGGGCCACATTTCGCCGGGCACGAGCTGTCAGGGGGCAATGGGAACAATGATGACATCAGAGAATGGCAGCGCGGGCGCTACCTCTGCGCTACTGAGTGCGCGCGGCGCATGTTTGGTTATAAAACCTATGAACGAGTCCCTCGCGCGGTTTGTCTACCGGCGCATTGCGAGGGGGAAGATTGGGCCACCTATTCGGCTGGACAGGAACAGGGGGCCGCGCAATCGCCCATGTGGTTTTTCCAGCGCTATTTCCACGGGCCCAAGCCCAGCGCGTCTGCAAAGTACCGCGAATATTTCGAGCGCTTCATGGTGACCAACATGCGCCCCCAAGCATTGCAGCGCCACGTTTCCGACTTATTCCCTCGAGCTGCGCCGCGCTCAGTGAATCCCCCCGCGGGCCGTGGCCTTGGCGCCGGCGTTAGACGCGGCCCTGCCAGATCACCGCCATTTCGCTCGCGAAGAAGAGCGGGGCGAACATCCGATATGCAGCCTCGACATGAAGTATCCCAAATAGAGAGGCGTTCTATCTCAGACACATATTGTTGCACTTCCCCAAAACCAGTTTCTCTACTTGCAAGACCCACGCAGGTCGGAAGTACCCCGCGCACGAGCAAGTTTCGGTGGCAACTGGATACTTGGCGACAGCGAACAAGCCCACGCGGGTGCTCCATGAGTTGGTCGAGCTCCGCGACGCTGCCGCTCAACTGCAGTTCGCCCTCGTCGCGCTGCTCGAGCAGGGCGCGCGCGCCGCGGCGCTCTTCATCAAGTTCGGACAACATGTCCTCGCCGATTTCCGCGACTGCGGGCTCGCCCTCGACGTCGCCCGCAAGGCGACACGCGACGCTCTGCGTCTCTCGTGCCAATCCATCGGGAAGTCCTTCAAGCTTGAAGGCCAAACCGACTTTCCACAACCAACTTAATTATCCCTCGCCGTTGCAGCGTCACTCTCACAACAAGACGCGCAAGCCCGCGCAGAGCCAATCTACAGAAAGCTGGCGAAGGGCCCCAGTCAAACCGAGGCTGTCATGGCGATATCCGCATCAATACGTGCCGGCGCAGAGAAATGTGCATCTTCGTTCGCGGCCCTGCTGACAGCTGCAAATCCACCGCGGGCAGTTACGTCGCTTACTCATTTTTGGCAAACGGAAAATGGGTCGCCAACGTGGCCGCGACAGGAGTCGCGGCCTTGCAACTGCCCCTCGGCGCCACGGCGCATTCCGTGTGCAAGATTTCCGTCTCTGATGAAGACGTGCTCGCCTGCGCCCTGCCGATCGGCTCGCAAGGCGCCCGCGCCCTTGCCGCAATTGGATGAATGGCCAAATTCAAAACGACCCGCTCGGGAGAGCGCCCTCAAATTGTTGGACAAGATCAAACAGCACCGCAATGCCATCCGGAAGATCAAGGTTTTTATCTGTTTCGGGGATTCCGCCAGATCCCCCCCGTCGTCAAAAGGAGGCGCGCGGGACTCGTGCGGAAATCTTTTACTTGTGAGCTTTTCATTACGTATGCCTTGCATGTGAACCGCCGACAACACCGCGACGTCGACTACGGCGGCAGAGCTATCATAGAGAAACGAAAAAAAAGGCCCCAAGACACCTTCCAAAGCATTCCAAATCGCGACCCGGCCGTTCAGAGAGACCGCGGTTGGAGGCAGGGTGGCCCGAGGGCGCCCCCAGAGACCCCCCACAACACGCCCAGGATGCCTCCAGAAGGCTTTAAAAAAACTTAAGCAATTTGTTGCGAAGTCCCAAGAGGCCCTCCAAGGAGGAACCTCCGCAAAAAGAGCTGAAGAGGATGGGGAGAATGCGCGGGGCATGGCGAGACTGACGAAAAGAAGCATGGAGGAAACATAGCGAGTGACATCATTACAACGGCGATGCCAGAAACGACCATGAATTATCGCTAAATTGTCGGCTTGGCCCTCCCTCCATTCCGCCTGCAGATTGAAAACTTCAAGAACCAAGGTGCATGGCGCGAAGCGCCTTTGCAGTCATATATATATATATATATATAATCTATAGACACATACATACATATGTGTGTGCACACGTTTCCTACTGCTCGCTACGCTGCGCCGTCGAACCCGTGGTTCGGCAGGTGGTCTTGGCGCGGGGGCAAAGACTCGCGCGTAGTGGAGAGGGGGTGCGCTGAAATTGCTCGGGCAAGGGGCCGTTTGAGGCCGTCGTTGGGCCCTCATCGGATGTTTGGGGCGCGCGCCTCTTAGGCCAGCTTGAAGCCATCTTTGGCAATCTTGAGGGCCTCTTGTGCCTCCTTGGGGCGGTTTGGGGGGCCTTTGGGCCGTCGAGGAGCGTCGTCAGGCCGAAAAAGCGAGGTTTGCCCCTGGGGACCATGTTTGAGACATGTTTCGGAACTCTCTTGGGGTCTCTGGGAAGCCTTTGTGCCCTTTTGTGGGCCACCTTGGGAACATCTCGAGCCATCTTGGGGCCACCTGGGCCGTCGTGCGGGGCTCTCGAGGCCTCTGGAGGCACCCTGTGGCCCATTGGCGGCTGTTTTGGGGCTTTCCACAGCCATTGTGTGTCGACTTGAACCCGCGGGTCGATATGCGGTAGCCACTCTGGCGCACAGCTACACGAACATTATCATAATTGGTCGCAGTTTCGCTACATGTTCTTAGGCATGATGAGCGGAGGAGAAGGCGGAAGGAGTCGAGTCGGAGGAGGAGAAGAGGAGGAGGAGGAGGAGGAGGAGGAGGAGGAAGAGGAGGAGGAGGAGGACCAGTGTAAACCAAAAAGTCATCAACGATGTTGGAATCACCTTCAATCTCCGTTTTTTTCACAGGCCCCATACAACGGTTCATTTCCACTGATGGAGCTTCCTCGTTGGAAGGCACCTTTTGAAGACCCTGAAACATGCCAAAACATTGTCTTCGGACTTTCAACGCAACGGCTCAACCTGACTGCTGCGTCTTGACGATCTGGAACCGTGCAAGAGCGCCATGTTCCGGACTTCAGCACCGCGAATCAATATAACTGTTGCACCCGCAAAGTCATGAACCCTTTCACTACGTAATTTCTGGTGCGCTGATTATGGGAATCCGCGAAACTCTCCCAAATGTTATGAACGAATGCGCGCGGCGCTAAGGCGAGAGCAACATTTTGAAACGGAGTCGCCCTCAATCCGTGGAACTCTTGCAAAGTTTTACCACGAATGCGCGCGGCGCTAAGGCGAGATCCACATTTTTCAAAAAGAACCGCTCTCAATCCGTGAAGCTCTTGCAAAGTTTTACAACGAATGCGTGCGGCGCCCAGGCGAGAGCCACATTTTTGAAAACGACCCGCCCTCAATTTGTGAAATTCTTACAATGTTTAAACGAGTATACGCGGCGCTAAGGCGAGAGCCACATATTGAAAGCCACCCGCCCTGCATCTGTGAAAATGTTGTCAGATTTCAAGCTTCAGGGTCATACATGGTGAGAAAGTCTGAGGCGAAACGCGCGGCCCGCTCAAACAATTCGCCTCGGGGTGCGACAGGGAGAAGTTATTTATAAGAAAAAGGAATGGAGAAAGAAAAGCAGGGGAATAGCAGGATTATGAGGAGGAGATGGAAATGGAGGAGGTCGAGGAGGCGGAGGCGGAGGAGAGAGCGGCATCGTTTGGTTTTGTTCGCGAGACACGCTTCTTTCAGCGCAAGCCCATCTTTTGAAGGTTGGACTACGGCATCCGCTCGTCTGGCCGCAGCCGCCGCTTCCAGCCGCCTCTACCGCATCCGCCGCCGCCGCCGCGCGCGCCGCCCTCTGGGTCCAAGCCTGTTTTTGTTCACGCAGCCGATAACGATACTAACTAAGCACGCCGCCCCAGGCCCGGTCGGGCCGGGAGGCCCGGCCCCCTTCCTTCCGTCTCTCTCGACTACGAAGCAGTGGCGAAGCGTCCTGGGCTTTCCTTTCGGCCGAACACATTCTGAGAGCCGTTTGTGTTTTGCGCGAAATGCCATTGGAACATTTCTGGCCGAGACTGTCTTGATTTAATGCACCTGTGTTATCTTCTAAGCAGCTTGTTTTTATTATTCGAGTTTTGTTTGGGTTCTGAGGACTTTCGTGGTAGGCCTATAGGAATGCTGGGACGGTCGGTCCCTGCTCAAGACTGCGCGTAAGATTGACCTTTCGCTGGAGTGACCCTTGGTGCGGGCTCACCAGGGCCCCCCCCGATCGCCGAGCGCGACGCAGAATGGCAGCTGCTCCGCGCCCCCTTCATCCGCGCACGAAGGCTCACTCTTGCCTAGGGTCCCTCTTGCGTGTACAGAGGACCCGCATAGCAAGGACGAGCGACTTTTCTAAGGGTGCCCTTGCATACTTCCCCCTTCGGCCCATCCTCGGCCGCTTCCGCTGGCCGCGCCCCGCTCGCAGACTGTCGACATGGCCTTCCAAATCCCTTGCATCCTTATCGCGCATCCTTGTGATACAGGCCAACTGTATGGCCTCGGGACCCTCAGAGGTCCAGCGACGAGGAGGAGGAGGAGGAGGAGGAAGAGGACGAGGAGGACGAGGAGGAGGAGGAGAGGGTGGAGGAGGAGGAGGAGGAGGACGACGACGAGTCGACTGACGCCGACTTTGTTTCTCTCCGTGGGGGCCCCCCCAACGGGCCACCCGCGGGGGCGCCGCAGAGACACCGCTGCGCCTCTCGAGTCCGGCGGCCAGCGGCCGTGCCGCGGCCCATCTCCGGGAGAGGACCGCGCTCGGCGGGGCGCGGTGCTCGCCACGGGAGCAGCGGGTCCTGCGGGAAGCGGGCCTTGGAGCCCCAGCTCGGTTGCTTGTTCCAGGCGCTGGGCCTCCGGGTCGGAGGCCGCCGCCTCGGAGTCGAGGAGGGAGAGCGACCTGCATGAATATAATCATATTTTCGGAGATCCGCGCGGACTTCTCAGATCTGAAGTTCGCCCCCCTGGCGCGCTCTGCGCGCCAGGGAGTGTCGTCATGGGGGAAACGTGCCCTGAGGGAAATTGGTCCCGAGGTTTCTCGCAGTTTTCGAGCTCTCGGGGGCCATCCAGGGGCCCTGGGACTGTCGGAAACGGCTCAGGATGAAGATCTTGTCCCGGGGGACGGCCCCAGGGTCCAGAACCCGTTCCCCTTGGAATTCGGCTCCCCAATGCTAAGACGCGCGCAGTGGTTTTCGCCGTTCGGTCGGTTCGGTCGTGTCGCATCAGGGACAAAGAGGGGGGATAGGCATACGGAGGGATGCCTCGACCCTCAATCGCCCGTTGATCGCCGAGAAGGGGTCTGTTAGTCCCACCCAGCCCAGGAACGTTCGGATTTGCTGTCAGGGGCCTGTCGCCGATCGGCGATGTATCGCCGACTCTATGCCAGCCCCCCCTTTGGTTATCGTTGCCCCTCACCGCAGTCGGGTGCCTGTTGTCGGTTCGCTTCGGTCTGACATTGTGCCGTTGCCGCTTCGCTGCGCCCTTGAGGTCGCTTGCGGCCCGTCGGCTTCTGTCTCGTTCCCGGTTCGGTCGGTCTTCGGCCTTGCCGTCGACGCGGACGGCCTCGAGTCGAGGCACTCGCACAGGGGGGCTCCGGGGGCGGAGGCCTCCAGGGGGCATGGTTCGCGCTGGTGTGCTTTGCCAGAGGTGTCCCCCGGCCCAAGGCGCGCCTCCAGCCCGTCGCTGCACTCTGGAGCCCCTGGGGCCCTCTGGGTCTCGTGTTCAGTCGGGCCTGTCCCTCTACAGGGGGAAAATTAAAAAATATGTAAAAAACAATTCAGGGGACGATTTCTTGATCATTTGTTTGGCTATTCTGGGGCATGTTTGGTGTATTTTCTACTCGTCCCAAATCCGCTTGTATGGGGACATGCCCGACCTAAGTCTCGTGAGAGGTCCCCCCTCACGAGGCTGTGATGCCCCAGGCGATGCCTCGGCAGACCGGCTGCAGCCTGGGCTCCGCAGCCATCGGATGATCCGCGAGGCGGGGGCAGTGGAGGAGTGACCCTGCTCGCGGCAGCCAGTCCGCCAGCCGACCGCCCACAGCAATTTCGCAGCACGTGTTTTCTTCCATGCGCCTCCTCTGCGGACTCCTGGGGGCCGAGGGGTGCGCTGGAGGCCATGGGGCCTCCCCCAGAAACTTCTGGGGAGCCTTCGGCCAGGGACACAGTTGGCGACACCCGATCACGGGGTGGGGACTGCGACCCCCCATCGCCGCTGCATCGCCCATGGTTGGGCCCTCTGGAAGGCCCTCGTCGCCGCGGCCGGATCCGCGTCGAAGTCCCGGTGAGCCGCGCTTCAGGACAGATCGTGGGGCGGATCCTGAGGGGCGGTGATGTTTCGCAGCCCTGTCAGCCGTCGTGGGGTGGAAGGAGGCGGTCGCCTATGGACTACGGGAAGCGCTGTCTTCCGCGGGTCTTCCCTGGGCGCTCCTCGCGCGCACCTGGCCGCGAACAGGGGCCAGGCCCGGAAGGGCCCCCCCCATCGCTCCCTTCTTGGGGGGCGATGAGTGAAGGGGGGCAGCTGGGGCTGCGGGAAAGGGCCCCCCAGGGTCTCTCCAGGGGCACTTTGGGACCCCAGAGGGGGCCTTCCTAGGGCCCAAGAAAGGCCCATTTCTTCTCCCCCCCCCCATCGACCGCCTCCCCTAAATCGCGCCCAACTTTCCTGCGGCCCCCCCCCTGAGGCAGAGCCTCCTGCTCCGCAGGCCCCACAGCCGCCGCTCCAGGGCACGACTCCTGCCTCCGGGGCCTGGGCCGCCGCGCCGACGCGAAGGGCCACACGTTCTGAGCACCTCTCGCCGGCCCGCCGTCCCCTCTCCACGGCGGCCCTCGACTCCACTCCGCCCCTGCCGGCTGGCCGCTTCGCACCCCGACCTGTCGCGCCCAGCGATCGCCGGCGCCGCGGCGAGGAGGCAAAGCCCAGAGGGAGGGGGCGGCCTGGCGTGTTCCGGCCCCCCGCAGGCCTCCCGTGGGGCCTTCGCCGCCACGGCTCTGATTGCTTTCGGATTGCTGGGCCAGGACAGGCTGGGCGGTCGGTTGTGAGCCCCAGGGCCCAGACTCGGCGCTACCCAGGCCGATTACAAACCTCGTCAAAAATTGACTCAGGCGCTGTTCAAAAGCGAAGCGCCCGATAGGTCGGGCGCTTGTCAGAAAACGCGTTCTTCAACGCTGTGAGGGTACTGCCAGATTTCGGACCTCTCCTGCGTCTGGGCCGAATACTTCATGCCAGCATCGAAGTAGCGCCGACCACGCCAGCACGGAAAACAAACACCGTTAATTGTCTTGACGAGGCTTCTGGGTGATACAGTGCGTGCGTCGCCCTCGAAGGGGCAGCGGGTGCGCCGAGAAATCTTACAGTATATGTTCGTTGGCGGGCTCTGTCTGGCCGCACCGCTGGGGCAACGATATGCAGTAGGGGCCCATGCTCAGAAACACCCTGCTTGCCTCCTGGGTGCCCTGGGTTTCTTGGGTCTCGATGGCTTTTCTGTGGAAAGCGCGACGTGCCCACGCCAAAAATCCATGGACGCCCTGGGGTCTCAGGGTTGGGTTTCTTGTGGAAGGTTTCGTGTGGACTGGACTCCACTGCGTTACAATATGCTACAGTGTGCTTGTACTATCTGTTCGGGCCGGACGCACGCTTCCGAGGAGGACGAACAGTGTTAGCACGTCCTTGTGAGTCCCACAAACTGGCGTCGGGATTGGTTCTCTGGGTTTGCACCCAGATGCCCGCTGAGAGCCTTGGACTTGCGAAACACGATCGAGCACAGTCAAGACGCCAGTGAGCCAGTTCTGGGAACAGATTCGTGGCCGAGGCTCGCCGTAGCCAGGGAAAAGGGGGCCTATGAGGCTGGGGCCCAATTCGAGGTAGATCGCTCCAGAGTTTCCGTGAACGGCGCTCCTGAAAGCTCTGGAACGGCCGCGGCGCATGATGCATCCTCCTGACCTGCTGGATGTTACGGATTCCGAGCTGTCTGAGCCAAGGTTGCGCCCTCAACCATTGGCCCCCCCAGCTGAGCCATCTTGTCGCTATATTGGTGCGTATGGGGGGCATTTTGGGCCGTCATGGGGCCTCTCGGTGGCATCGGAGCCGCTCTGCGGCCATCTTAGAAGCCTCTTGGGCCCATCTCGGGGGCGTCTTGCGCCCATCTTGGGGCAGTGTTTGGGCAACCCTGGCCGACTTGGGCGACACCGTGGGGCCTCTGGGGGCCACCTCGGGGCCGTCTTGGGCAATCTCGGGGGGCCCTGGGGGCCATCTTGAAGCGGTTTTTGAACCCCTTGGGAGGAAGCCGTTGGACGGGCAGACACAGTGGAAATTCGAGGCCCTCTTGGGCCGCCTTAAAGGCATCTCGGGGCCACCTTCGGCCAGCCCTCCTCGGAGCCGCCTGGGGCCGTCTCCGGGGCCTCCTGGGGCCGTCCTGGCCGCGCGGTGATGTCCAATGCGAATATTGCGGCAGCGTGGGTTTTTTTCCTGTTTAAACAAATGGGACGAAAAACATATCACAGCAGACAGAGCACCAGGCAGCAGCTCCGCAGACGCCCCCCAGAAGGGGCAGGCAGGTGTCTATACGGCTCTGCCCTCTTCCTGCTGCCGCCGCAGTCGAGAGCTCCGATGGGGGACCCCAGGATGGAAGCGGGCACGACGTCGGATGGCTCGGGGCGTGCTCGTTCAGGCGATTGCAAACATGGCTTGGGTCTCTTCCTTCAATGGCTCGTCGGATGGCTCGGGGCGTGGATTAGCGACGGGTCCCGTTTCCATGGGAAATCGCGGATTTCCGCCGCCGAGCGAGGCGGCACCGGCCGCATTTTGTGGAGGGCGCCTCCCCCGATCCATGGATTTGGTGACCGCGCGCCAAATCCATGGATCGCTAATCCATGCTTGCGCGCCCCCGACGAGGAGGAGGAGGAGGAGGAGGAGGAGGAGGAGGAGGAGGAATCATCGGATGAGGAGGAGGAGGAGGAGGAGCGAAGGAGCGGCCCTGACTCGTTCGAGCGGCTCCAGCGCGCACGGGGGCGGGAGTCGCGAGCGAGCGGCATCGGGGACGGACGCGCTGTCTGCTCCGGTCGAGCGCCAGGGGGGAGGGCGGGAGACCGCGCCACGGGGCAAAGCATCTGCTGCACGTCGGGCACGTCAAGCGAGAGCAGAAGCAGGCCAGCCACAAACTGGGGGAGCTGTGGTCCTTACCCCCCTTGGGGGCCCATCGATTTCGACGCCCCTCTCGAGAGGTCGTCGATGCGATGGGTTCCCCCAGGGGGGTAAGGACCACAGCTCCCCCAGTTACGGCTGGTCGGAGAAGAAGCGGGAGCGGCATACAGGTTTGGTCTCAATTGACGTGGAGTCGGGCGTGTCCCTCTCTCTGCAGGAGGAGTATCCCAGAGTAGTAAAAGATGATCCGGGGATGATTGTTCTGCTATTTGTCTCTTTTTTGCGAATTTGATGGCTATCTGAACTTTTCCTCCCAAAATCCGCCTGTAGGAGGACATGCTCGACCTAAGATTAACAAGACGAAGCCGGGTGGCCTCTCGCGATGCGTCATCGTGGAGCGGCCTCTGCCAAGTCGGGAGGTGCGGTGGGGTGCTCCCTGTGGAGCGGCACCGTCAAAGCCGACGGGCTCGCTGGGCTCCTGGCCAGATGCTTCCCCGCCCGCGCAGCTCGAAGCGCTGGCTCGGGGGCAAGCGCCCCGCGACTTCAATTTTATCTTGTTAATTGTGACTGGACTTGTACCCATCGGTCGTTGAAAATAGGTATTTGTAGAGTCCCAGATCCTAATCTACCTTAGCCGCCTTCCTAACTACTTCAATGATCGAGGGGTCTTCCCTCTTCCCCTCTTCAGGAGGCGGGCGTACACCCGATCTGCTTTCAACGCCTTCCTACCTCATGTTTCCACCTATACTTCTCCCGACAGGTGGGCGGATTGTGGCCGGACGCGTGGATAAGCCAGCGAATGCCTTGGGTCGGCGCTGGGGCCCTCCCTGGCAACACCCCCCCGCGGCGCCCTCGGGGCGCCCGGCGACGGAGCAGGAAGTCCGCGCGGGGCGCCGAGCGCGCCTGCCCTCTGCGAACGGCCCCCTTAGCCTCCCCCGGAGGGCCCCCGGGGTGCCCGCCTGGGCTCCCGGGGCGCCTGCGTGAGGTCGGCGTCACCCCAACGTACCCATACCATATGTGCGTCGCCTCCCCAGGGGCGACGCGCGCACCGAGAAGTCTCATAGTGTATGCGTCGTGGCAGACGCTTTCTGGCCACACCGCTCGGGAAACGGCATACAACAAGATGGGTGTACTATACGTTCTGTTCGGACGATGCTACTCGTATGTCTCTGTGCGTCCCATGAGGCTCAGGATGGACGGCGAGTGCTGGCCACACACGTGAGAAGAGTGGCCCCTCGCTGCAGCGGCCCCTGGTGCGCGGGCTCCTGGGGGGGGGGGGGGCGGCGCGGGAGGGCCGAGCCCGAGCAGGCAGGCGGTCATTGTGGCATCGCACGTAGCGATCGGCAAGCCGCATATCGAGAGTCCTCCCTTGCCCGGGGGTCGCTGGCTGCGCGGAGCCGGGACGGCGCCCTTCGGCACCTCGTGGCGGCATCTCTCATCGAGCGTGCCCGCCATGGCCGACCGGCGCGAGGCGTCTGATGGTGCAGCATATCCCTCAAGAAAGAGACGACCTCCTCTGGGCAGTCGTCGCGGTGCTCCTGGTCCGAGCGCCTCCTTCCGTCTTCGCTTTTTGTTGAGCACGCGGCGCGTCCTCGGTGAGAGGAGGGCGGCGCTGGGAACAGGAGAGAGTGGACCTCCACGGGCAAGGGGGGCCCGAGGGAAAGGGGGCCCCAGAGGTTTTTCGTCGTCTTTCGGCCTCTCGGGGCCCCTGTCCCGCGGCCGTGCACCGACGGACTCGGCACGGAGAGCTGGTCAAGTGGAAGCCGCGGGATCTAGGAGCCGCTTCCCTCGGGACCCCTTCACCTCGCGGCGGGTGCATCAGCAATCAGTGCAAGTGGGGAGGGGCTGGTGACGCGAGGCAGCCTCTGCCTTTTCGTGTTTTGTTTGTTTTTCTTATTCTCCCTCTCTCACTCTTTTTATTTTGTGTGTGTGTTCTCTCCCTCTCTCTCTGTTGGTTTCTCGGTGCTGGCCCTTTTTTTGTTTCTCTCTCTCTCTCTTTCTCTGTCTCTCACTTGTACATCTATATATATATATATCTATATATATATATATATAGATGTGTGTGTATGCACATACGTATGTCCAGTTTCGGCACAAGTTTCCATGGCGATGCCGGGGCCGGCAGCGGCCAGCAGCCAGCCCAGCAGCCCTCGGGCCTGGCGGGACAGGACGACCGCGTCGCCCGCGTGACCCACCGACGGGCTGCCCCCTTCCTCCCGCAACCTGCGGTCGTCGTGGCCTGCAAGGGCCTCGGGGCCGTGTAAGGTGTGCAAGTCTAAGAAGAACAAACACCATGAACAGAAACTTTTGGCGCTCCGCGCGGATTTCGTGGGTCCGCGCTGGGCCGCCCCCCGGCGGCGCCTCTGGCGCCGCTCCAGGCGCTTTCCGCGCGCCAGGGAGTGGGGGTCCAGTGCAGATCCAAGAAATCCGCGCGGAGCGCCTAAAGTTTGTGTTTATATAGTTTTCTCTCCTTCTGGAGAAGGTCTACTATGACATGATTATGTGGCCAACGCAAGATCAGTTGGACATTGGCTCACCACCGAGCGCAGAAGGGTTCACCAAGCCGAGCGGATGAACCCGAGCGCTGAGGCCGCCACGCCGAGTCCGCCAGGGAGTCCGACCCGCCACGCAGCAGCATACACCTCCATGGGCACGAGGAGGGCCAATGCCAGCTGGCCACACACCACAAACAACACAGTGTGGGCGCGCACGAAGAAACCAGACGCTTCCCGTCGGGGTATCCTGGATTTCTTTGCTCCGCGCGCTGCGCGGTGACTTCCCGCAGCTGTGGAATAAGCTGCTGCGTTCAGGGTGCTCTGGGCTTCCCCTCGGCGGCACCTCGCGCGCGGGTCTCCAGGGCTGGGCTTCCTGTGAGGGTTTCCTGCGGCCGCGCCCGCACTGCACCACACACCCGCTGGCGCCGCCCCGGACGCGGGGAGACCCCGATGGTGTCGGGTGCTCACTATAATGGGCGGGGCGACAGGTGGGGGGGGGCAAGAAAGGTGAACCTTTCGTGCACCTTTCGTACCCCTTCGGGGCCCTGTGGGGGCTCGTTGAGGGCCCCTTTAGGGCCCCTTTCGTGCAACCCTCGACGCCCCTCCATTTATCGCCCCCCCAGTACCGAACGCCAAATGGTGATCCTTCCCCTCCCGCCCGGGGCAAATCAGACCCACCTCTGGCTGCCGCTGCCCCGTACGGAGAGAGGCGCCCTGTCGCCCCCTCCACGGGCATCGACCAGGCCGCCCCCTCCCGGAGCACGCGAGATCAACCCATGGTCAGGTCGGGCCTGTCCCTCTACAGGGGGAGTCTTCAAAGATAGTCCAAAAAGTTGTCTGGGGACGATTTGTTTTAGCATTTTGGGGGTATTGTTGGAGCATGTTTGGGGGTATGTTTTATTTTTCGTCCAAAATCCGCCTGTAGGAGGACATGTCCGACCTAAGGCGTGTCCTCCATGGGCATCGGTCAGGCCGCTCCTTTTCCAGGCATCCGCTCGAGCCCACCACCTCGCCGACGCCCAGCGTCCCAACCTTGTCCGCCCACACGACGTAGAGTCCCGGATGACGACCTGGACTATCAGTCGCCTATCGGATCAACCCTTCGTGCGACGCCGCATGCGACTTGCAGACCAGCCGCGGGGACGTAGCTGCCGATAGCGTTAGGTCGGGCATGTCCTATTGCAGGCGGATGCTGGCAACAAAAAGACATTCTGGTCGAAACATGCTCAAACACTGGAAAGCAGCCGGAACATCGTCCCCAGACTCCTTCGCTACTATTCTCGAACGCTCCTCCTGTAGAGGGACGTGCCCGACTTAAGTCAGAAGCCAGGCGAAGGCTGGCAAACCCGTGGCTGCTAAGACGGAACTCTGGGGAATTGATTTTTCTTCTGGGAAGCAGCCCGTTTATTATTTAGCGCGCCGAGTTTTCTTCCGGGAGTTGGCTTTGCCCTTCCGGGACGACCGTTTTAGCAGCCATGGATTTGCCAGGCCTCGCCCAGCTTCCGATTGACGGCAGCGACCACTCCTCGCGGCCCTTGGTGGCTGCAGGCGCCCAGGGCCGACCGCCACAGAGATCAGGAGGGGAAACAAAAATACGCGGACACAATCAATCGTCGATTGCCCAGAAAACATTGGGAAAATATGGGAAGCGGGGGGGAAAGACGACCCCCCCCAGAATGGAGGGGTGCGTGCACATAACTATCTTTGGGGGTTCGTGAAAGATCGACGTGCTTTCAACGGGGTTCGTCCGCAACCATCTCTCTCTCTCAGGCCTGCTGCTTCGGAGAGCGGATGCACCCCGCGCTCCCCGGCCCCGCGGGCGCACCCAGGCCGCGGCTGGCCCCTCCGCACTGGCTGCGCTCCTGGCGGGGGCCGCAGGCGGCTTCTGGGGGGCGGAGCTGCGAGAGGTCAGGGCGCCCGACATCGCGCCGACCCCGACGCTCCCTCCGCCTCGGGCGGTCTGCCGGGCTCCGCTGGGCTGGGCGGACGAGCCCTCGCGTCGACGCAACCCCGATCTGCAGCAGAGGCCGACTGCGTGCTGCTGTCACCCCACTCCTCCGTGCCCTGCTCGGCTTAAAGCCCGACCTCCTGGATGCCTCCCACTCAGGCCCCTCGCCGGACTCGAAGCTTGGCTCGGCAGACGTCTCTTGATGGTCCGAGTCAGATGCGACGGCGAGGGCTGGGGCCACCCTTGGACAGCGGAGCCGGGGGCGCGGCCCGCGAGGCGACCGTGCTGCAGCGGGCCGCGAGGACGCAGAGCGGCACGAGCGTCGCGGCGACCCGGCCGCGGCCTGCGGGTCAGGACTGGCTGGAGTGCGCCCCAGCAGCGGGGCAGGCGCCGCGGGGGCCGGCCAACGACAGCTCGAGCGGCAGATCCTCGTCCGAACCCAGGCCCGACGCCGTCGGCGGAAGGGCGCGGGGGCTTGCGAGGAGGTCGCGGCGACGGCTGGGCAAGTACCTGGGGGTGACGCTGGGCTTTGAGAAGGAGGGGGTCATCCTGCGTCGGACAACGTGCGGCGCTACTATTCGAGCCACCTCCTGGACTTCGAGCGGTTCGCCAGGGAGCTCGACCCAGCGCTCGCGGGCGACGGCGACGTGGACGACTGGCTCGCGAAGTTTTTCAACGCGAGCTTCCTCGGTGGACGGCAGCCAGACTACGGGGGGAAGGTGCTGGCGGCTTTTGCGGACCGCCACCTGGACTTCAGCAAGGCCGGGAAGCGGAGGGTGCCGCGGGCTTGGCGCTGCCTGCGCGGGTGGCGCCGCTTGGTGCCTGGCCGCTCGAGGCGGCCCCTGCCTCAGGCGGCGTGGAAGGCGATCGCCGCCGACCTTTGCTTGCGGGGCCACAGGCTGATGGCCGCGGCGGTCCTGCTGGGCGCGGGGGCCTACCTGCGGCCGCGCGAGCTGACGATCATGCAGCCCGAGGACATTGTTCCTCCGACGCGGGATGTGTCCGGGCACTGGTCGCTGATCATCTGCCCTCAGACGAGGGGCATCCCCACCAAGACAGGGGCGATGGACGACAGCGTGGTGCTGGACTGCAAGTGGCAGCAACGGTTGACGCCCCTCTGGTCGGCGTTGGCAGGGGCCCCATCGCGGGAAACCGATATAGACATAGACCTTCACGTGCCCAGAGCTGGCAAAGCAGTTCAAGGAGACGCGCAGCCGGCTCGGGGCCCCCGCGGTGCCCTACATGATGAGGCACAGCGGCCCCAGCATCGACAGGGCCCTGCAGTTTCGTCCATTCGACGAAGCGCGTAAGAGGGGCGCTGGGCGAGCCACGAGTTGGTGGTGCGGCACGAGAAGGCGGCGCGGCTGAGCAGGGCGTGGCACGACCTCCCGAGGGCCAGCCAGAGGCGCTGCGAGGCGCTCGACGCGCGCCTCGAGGAGCTGCTGCTGCAGGGCGCAGACCGCGCTGCCAGCGGCGCGGGGCGCCGTTGGGAGGCCAGTATCGGAGACTTTTTCGCTGGCGAGGGCGGCGTCGCTCGCGCCAGCCGCCGCCTGGGCGTTCCCGCTCGGGCCTGGGAGGTCTGGGACGGCCCCTCGGGCGATCTGACGCGCCCGCCCGTGCTCCGGCGCATTCGCCAGGACGCCAGCGCGAGCGAGCTCCTGGCCGCGATGTTTGCACCCCCTTGCCAAACCTTCTCTGTGGCGAGGGACCGTGCTGCTGCGATGAGGACCCCTGAGTTCCCGTGGGGGGCGCCCTGGCGTAGCCTTCGTGACGCTGTAAAGCTGTTAGAAGGGAACGCCTGCCTCACCGCGTGCCTCAACCCTATAAGGTATTTGCACGCTAGAAAGATACATTGGATTCTAGAGAACCCGAACTCGTCTAAGATGTGGCTGGTTCCGCAGGTGCGCGCGCTATTGTCCTTGGCAAGGGTAGAATCTGTAGTACGTGACTTCTGCCAGTTCGGGACCCCCCGGAGAAAGCGTACCCGATTTATATGTGGCTGGGTCTCAAAGGCAGACCTCCTCGGCCTTCAGCGCATTTGCACAGGCAAGCACGGCAGCGCAGCCAAGTGTAGACACCACCAGTTAGAAGGATCCGCTATGACACCTTACCCGAAAGAGCTGTGCCAGTCGTTCGCCCACTCCTTGTTGCATAAGGTACGGAATGGTCAGATCAATTCTTCCGACCTTGCTCTCGCAACCCGCCATCCCTCGGCGTAGCCTGCCCCAGCCCCCCTTCCTTAATTCGGGAACTTCCCTTCTTCGGGCGTTGGTGGGACTTTTGAAGGCTTGGCCCATGGGTGCTGGCCCGATCTCGTTGGCGGCCGGGTCGCTGCCGCCAAGACGCGCGTGGCTTCTACGAGACGTATCTTATCCGCTGAAAGAGGACGCCCCAGTGAAAGAGGGGTGCATGCACATAACTATATTGAGAGGGGTCGTGAAGGATCGACGTGCTTTAAACGAGGTTCGTCCGCAATCATCTCTCTCAAGTCTGCTGCTTTGGCCCACCCACCCACTCCATGACTTTTGAGGCTTGGTCCAGGAGTGCTGGCCCAATCCTGTTGACGGCGGGGTCGTTGCGCCAATACGCACGTGGTTTCTACGAGACGTATCTTATCCGCTGAAAAAGGGAAGCCCCAGTGATATGACAATTTACGGAGTCTTGGGGGTTGTGTGTGTTTATTTGCATGTCCCTGGGCCCCTTCAAGAGAGGCCTCTGCGCCCGCGGGAGGCGCCACCCGCCCCTGGCCCGTCGGGGGGGGCAGGGCGCCGACGGCACCCAAGGCCACGCCTGGCAGGGGGACGCGCTGCGGCGCGCGGCAAGTCGGGCGCGTCCCTCTGCACAGGGCACGAGCAGGGCGAGGACGAGGACGAGGACGAGGACGAGATGCACGAGCAGGGCGAGGACGAGGACGAGGACGAGGGCGAGATGGACGAGGAGGGCGGGGGCGAGGACGAGGATGGGGCGTGGACGAGGAGTGCTGCGAGCAGGGCGAGGACGAGGTAGACGAGGAGCCGCAGGAACAGCTGGAGTTAAGGCGGGCGTGTCCCTCTGCAGGAGGAACGCTCGAGAATAGCAAAACAGTGGTCAGGGGACGATTTGTCGCGTTCCATGTCTGATTCTGTTTCGCCTATGCTTTATTTTTCTGTCGAAAGCCGCTTGTAGGAGGACATACCTGAGGCACGCAGGAAGGCCCTGCCAGACCGTCGCCTTCGCCAGCGGCGTGGCTGCGCAGCTCCTGCGTCCCAGCCCAGGGCTCGACCAACACTGTGCTGTTCGTGTTCGCTGCGTTGTCGTTCTCCTTTGTTTCGCCTCGTTCCGCCCCCGTTGCAGAACGAAGCCACACCGAAAGCGGCCCACGACATCGCCAACACAACGTTGAGGCCGAACCCTGTCCCAGCCTCTGCGCGGCCCCAGAACCGCTCCCCCTCCCGCCCTCTGGCCCTTCTCTGCCAGCGACCCAAACACGCAAGCAAATCCGTGATCTTTCCCGGGATTGCTGGGCACTCTTTCGGGGGGGCGATACGCTTTTATGTTTATTGGCGTGACAAGCGATAATATCCTGTCCGGGGGAGTAGGGCTCAGAGGCGATTGTTTGTTGCGGCTCATGCGTGTTTCTGGCAGATCGTTTCGCTCAGGACGTCGTCAATATTTGGAGAATTGGACGCGCCCATCGCGCAGATCACAGCAGGCTTTCAGCAGATTTAAATCAAACAAGTGCGAGCATAGTGGACTTCAATGAGCATGTGTCTCAGTTCCAGAAACACGTGGCGTTTCAGTGGCTTCCTGCGCTGCTAGTCAGAAGTGTACTGTTCAGCCTTCAAGATATCAGTGTAACAGTGATGCTGCGAATGCGTAAATGTTCGAAATGCGTTGGCTCCTGGTTGGTCCCCAGTGTAGTTATCCAGTTTTGTCCTGACCTTGTGTTTTCGTACACGCAGGGGGGCTTATCAACATGACGTCTGGTCGCCAGCGACCCTCCATGGTGTTTGGCATGGAGCCTGGGAACGCACGTGCCACCTGTCATTAAGCAAGCTTCAGTCATACGGAAAGAGCGCTTTGCGCGGCTGCTGGCAGGGGGGGTTCACCCCTCCCCCCCGCCAGAACCAGGGGGCAGGGAGGCTCCAGAACCCGCGCCATTCTTCCCAGGGATCTTGTTCGGGGGGGTCCAGACGCCCTTCCCCCCCTCGGAAAAAGTTGAATCCAGAGCAGACCCGAGATGCAGAGGATTCCTTTGGATTTGAACAGGCAGCTGATAGGAGTTCAATAGGAGTTGAGAGAGGCCCCAGATTCAAACTATGTCCATGTGATTTGAACAGGATCCCGTAGAAATTCGATAGAATTGGAGCGTACCCCAGCTTCTGACGATTTCGATCGAATTTGAGATGGAGTCCGTTGAGATTTCTGAGTCAGAAACATAACCTTTCGAGCGCAAGAAAATCGTTTAACAGAAGAATATTTCCCCTCCACGGGTAGGGGGTCAACGTTTCCGAAGCCCTCATCCTCTTCGGGAGCGTTGTCGCTGTGACTTCGTGCTTGCGAGCAATGTATGTCATCGGGCGCAGTGGCTAAATTTCACCGAGCTCTCGCAATGGCGATGTATCTTAAATGAGCATGGATGGAGAAATGAGGAGGAGGAGGAGGAGGAGAAGGAGGAGGAGCAGGAGGAGGAGGAAGAGGCGGCGCTTCCGGCGCTCCGCGCGCCAGTGGGCGGGGGTCAGCGCCGTCCTCTGATTTCCGCGGACCTCCGATCGTCTATGCTTAAACATTGCGTTAATATCTCTTATGTTTCCGTCCCCAGGCCGACGCTGAGGAACGACTCTCGGTTTTCGATCCCCCTTCACGGGGGGCAATAAGAGACTGATACCAATACTCCGCGTACCCCTCCCAGGTTTCGTCCCGGCCAGGTTTCCGAGCCCATTAGGGCCGTGCTGGCGAGGCTTGCCGAACTGGGACCCCATCGAAGCGAAAGCGAGGGCAGGGTATCGGTGTCGGTACGTTTTCTCCTCAGGCCTCCTGCGCGCCTCCTGCCCAGACCTCCAACGTGATGAACAAATCAGAGCGGATGCTTTTGGCAACTTTCAGCCTCTGAGCCGTTCTCGGGCCCCGTGGCAGTCAAGCCGCCACCCGCGGCGGAACGCCCGACCCGCAGGGAGATGTCGCGAGCTCGGGGGTCGCGCGCCAGACGAGCACGACGTGGGATCTCTGGCTACCTCGCCTCCGCCCTCTCCCTCCGCCCGAGAGGTCGTTCTGTTCGCCACTTCCAGCTCCGACGAGTGTGCGACGCAAGGCTTCCAGGCCGCCGCCGTCCGTGAGGAGGAGGAGGAGGAGGAAGAGGAGGAGGAGGAGGAGGAGGTAGAGGCGGCGGAGGAGGAGGAGGAGGAGGAGGAGGAGGAAGAGGAGGAGGAGGAGGAGGAGGAGGAAGAGGAGGAAGAGGAGGCGGGGGCGGAGGCGGAGGCGGAGGCGGAGGAGGAGGAGGAGGAGGAGGAGGAGGCGGAGGCGGAAGCGGAGGCGGAGGAGGAGGAGGAGGAGGAGGAGGAGGAGGAGGAGGAGGAGGAGGAGGAGGGTGCCCTCGTCGTCGTAGTGAGCCGTGGGTGGTCGAGGGCCGAGGGCGCGAAGGCTTGTCGGCGCCTCCCGGGGCCTCTCCGGGCCTCCTGCGGCGCCGTCGGCGGGATCCGCCTCGGGATGCTGGCCGGCGCGCGCCCCCGGGAGAGCCGCCGCCGCCGCTGCGGGTCGGAGGCGCGAGGGTCGAGGAGCGGCGCGCCGAGAGCGGGCTGGCCTCGTCGGAAGGCGGCGGGGCCTCGCAGAAGTCAGGCAGTGGCGAAGCGTCCTGTCTCGCCTATAGGCCCACCAATTGGAGGTCGATAGACCTACCCTGACACGTCGATTAGTGAATTGCCGGTTTTCGGTTCGCGAGAGGGCGACGCTGCCGTCATTTTGGCAGGTCCAGGTCCGTCGGTTTCGGTCTTGTGCCGCTTTCACTAAAGGTAGGTTTACTAAAGGGAGGTTTGTCCATCGCCGAGCCAAATAATGGTCTAAGCCTCTTGTGTGTGGTGTGCACGACATGTTCTTAGAACATTTCTGGCTGGGTCTGTTTTGTCATAACACATCGGGTGTATGTTCTAAGAACATCGGTTTGTTCTTGGAACACGTTTGGGGTTCTAAGAACATGTCGTGGTAGGCCTATAGACCTATAGGAATGCCGGGACGGTCGGTCCCTGCACAAGGAAGTCCCCCAGCCCTCTGAGAAGTCGAATCCGAAGAAGTCAGGAGCCTTGAGACGGGGGTCAGTGCACAGCGGGGGTCAGCCAGAGCGCACGATCTTGCAGGATCCTGCAGGGCCAGGGTCGCATTGGCCGAAACGGCTTGGGCGCAGGATCCTACAGGAGGTTGCAGGATCTTTCGCATTGACCCAGGTTTGGGTGCAGGATCTTGCAGGATTCTGCAAGGCCTGACTGACCCGGGTCTGGATTGGCCCGGGTCAGAAGACCCCCGAAGAAGAGAAAACGGCACAAACATGAATTGTTGGCGCTCCGCGCGGATTTCTGGAGTCCGCGCTGGGCCCCCCCTCCCCCCGCGGCGCCTCCGGCGCCGCCCCTGGCGCGCGCCGCGCGCCAGGAAGGGGGTCCGGCGCAGACCCAAGAAATCCGCGCGGAGCGCCAAAACAGTTTTGTCATTGCCGTTTTTCTTGTTTGTTTCTTCTTCTTGTTTTTCTTCTTCTTCTTCTTCTTAGTATTGTTATTCTTTTTATTATTATTATTATTAGTAGTAATATTATTATTGTCGTTATTATTATTATCCTTATCATCATTATTAGTATTATTATTAGTATTATTATTATTGTTATTATTATTGTTGTTATTATTATTACTATTACTATTATTATTATTATTAATAATAGCTTTATTATTATTATCATGATTTTAAGAAGCCCGCTGTGGATTCGGAGGAGGCTCAGCAAGCTTCTCCCGAGGCCTTCTGAGCCTTCCAAGCCTGCCGAGAAGGCTCGGTCCCATCGAGGTGCTTGCCGTGACCGCCTCTCTTTTTTTGCTCACATCCGGTCCTCCTCTGGGCCCTCCGAGCAGGCCGCGGGTGGCGCGGGGATCTCGGGCGACGTGCGTGAGCCCAGAGGGCGCGCTCGGAAGAGCATATGGGGCGGGAGAGCCAGGGGCTGCCAAGAGGGGGTCCTCCTCCTCCTCCTCCTCCTCCTCCTCCTCCTCCTCCTCCTCCTCCTCCTCCTCCTCCTCCCCCTCCTCCTCCCCTCCCCCTCCGACCATCCCTGCGCGAAGATCTCCGATCCTCTGGGTTCCCCCCGCCGCACCCGCCCAGGAGGCCGTGGGACCAGGCCCGACGGTCTCCTTCGTGGCGGGCGACACGGCGAATCTGGCGGCGCTGTTCTCCATGGGCGTGCTCTTCCAGTGCTCGGCGCGCTACCTCCTGTCGAGCAAGGTCCTCCCCTCTCCTCCCCTCCCTCCCCTCCTCCCCGCCTCTCCTCCTTCTCTTCCCCCTCCTCCTCTTCTTCCTCCTCCTCCTCCTCCTCCTTCTCCTCCTCCTCCTCCTCCTCCTCCTCCTCCTCCTCCCCTCCGTAGCCATTTTGGCTCAAGCCATTTTGGCCCAAGTCCGGAGCAAAGCGACTCAGGTTTGAGTGTGGCAAGGGGGAGGTGCGCCCCCACGTGCGATCCTTGAGGCCACTTGCTCAGGAAATGTTATGAGCTCCTGGAGGAGCATCGGTATCCAACCTTTTTGTGTCATCGGGCACATCTTTCGTTCGTGTGAGCTCCTGGAGGAGCCCATGGGCAGGCAAGATGCAAAGAATTTCCTTTCTTGTGTGTCGTGCAGGTATAGGTGGAATTGGAAGTCCAGGACCTTCTGCTTCAACTGCAACGCCACGCTCGCCCCGCTCGAGATGCCGTGGCGCGATGTGACTCAAGGAGTGTGGGTCCAAGGAGGTGGCGGCAATCATGGGGTTCAGCGGCCGCCAGCGGTCCCTCCAGGCGAGTGGCAGTGGTCGCCCAAGCCGCAGTCCGTCTCAGGGCACCGCGGCTCCACGCCTCCGCCGCGAGGGGCGCCTGCGGGCGAGGGCGGCCTCGCGACGGTCGACCTCCTGGCGCAGCTCAAGCAGCGGCTCGCGGGCTCGGCGGCGGCGCAAGAGCTCCAGGCGCTGGAGAGCGCCATCAGGCCCCAGGGCCCGCCGAAGGAGGTCAAGCCTGCGCGCCCGCCGCTGCTGGAGGCCCAGGTGTCTGCCAAAGGAATGGCCTGCCGACGCGCCGAGGCCTACTTGGAGCAATGCGTCGCCAAGGAGGACGAGGCCAAGGCCTGGTTCGAGGAGTGCCGCGACGCGACAGCGCTGTCGGCGCAGTCGGCGGTGCAGGCCAACTTGGAGTGGCAGGCGGAGCTGCAGCTGGAGCTCGACCGAGCAGGCGGCGCTCGGCCCCCCAGCTCGGTGTCGGGCCCCTCGGCCGCGGCGCCTGCTGGCGCCTCGCAGATCAACCTGTCGCACCTGCTGCGCGCCGAACAGGCTGGCGACGCGGTGGAAATCGATGTCATTCCCGCTAGCCCGCCCACGCCCACTCCCTGAGGCCTCCGCTTCCCCGCCGCCGCAGACACTTGCCAGCCGAGCACGGTCTGACCCCCCGCATGCCCGCCCGACAACATCAGTCTCTTTGTTTCGCATGCTGCCGAAAGCGCGGCCGCGACATGTTCGCGGACGCCCAGCGGGACAAAAAGGACAAGCGATGCAAGGGGCGCACCGCGCAGGTGGCCCAGCCCACTGCTGTTCCCACGTGCACCGCGCGCCTTGCCGTCCAACCTCGATCAGACTTCGCCGCGGGCCAGAGAAATAGGGGCACCCGAATTTGCAAGGGGCGCGCCGCCCAGGCTCCTCGTCGCAGCGGAGATGCCCGCGCCGCCCACGAAGCGGCGTGCAGCATTTGTGGGCATGTCTCGCCCTGGGCCGCGTTCCCGGTCGACCACCGCCACGCCCAGAACCCCGCGTGCGCGGACTGCTCCCCCACCTCCATGCGCGCGGGCCGTCATGCAACGCAGACGTTCCACTTGAGCTCGCTGAGCTCCCCGTACCCGCGCTGCGGGGCGGTCCTCTTTCAGTGCGAGACAGACGCTTTCTGTTGCAGCTGAGGCGCGCAGATCGTCGACTTCGACGCCTTCTTCAAGGCTCCGGACCAGCCACTCCTGGACATTCATGCATCAACTTGGCCGCTCAAGGACGGGCGCGGTTGCGTCCTGCACGATGCGAAGACGAACGCCATCGCGCTGACCGTCTTCACCGCGGCGCCCCGCAAGTACAACGGCCTCTTCGCTCTCGCCCAGCACGAAATCCAGTCAAGCACCACGGAGAAGGAGCTCCGTTTTGGCGACGCCCAGAAATCGACGAACGCATCCACGGGACCACGTGCAGACGCGCGTTCGCCCCCACCGACCAGGTCCCGATGAGGTACCTCGCCATCGACCCTCGCGAACGATTCGCAGTGGCTGCCCGGCATGGGCTGCCGCGCCAGGTCGCCCAGCGACTCGAACGCCTCATAGTCCCGCGCAACAGGCACATGGCGCCCATTCGCCGACTGCCCGAGAAATCATCCGCAGCGCCCGAGGCGGACATTGTCCTCGAGCGGCGCGAAGGCGTCGACGAGGTAGCTGGAATGGTCGACTTCGACCACGACCCAAAGAACCCCCGAGCCGTCGTGTTTCATTTGAACCCCGCCGAGAAACCCACGCATCTGCATCAACTGAGCCCGTTGCACGCGCCATTGAGCTACCCGTTGCGGCATCCGTTCGGGGGCCAGGGCTGGGGCATCGACGTCCTCAGCACCACGGGCCGCAAAGTGACGCAAATGTGGCGGTATCGCCAACAAGTCCCACGCCTCTCCCACATGCACATGCGCGGCCGTTTGCTCAACGACTGGCTCAGCAAAATGCACCGCCGCATGGAGGGCGAACGTTTCGCCAACCTGCGCGCCCAGCAGAACGAGATGATGGCGCAGAGGCACGCCGTCTGCGAGGTAGCTGCGAACGCGGACGCCACGAGCGCTGGGCTGGGAAAGCGCTTCTACCTCCCTTCCAGCGCCCCGGTCCCCCCTCGGCACCTCCGACGTCCCCGGACAGACGCGCTCAAGCTCGCGCGACGCCGAGGGCACCCGACCATCGCCGTCACTTGCAACCCGTGCTGGCCCGAGATCACGGAAGCGTTGCGTCCGGGGCAAGCCGCGGCAGATCGCCTGGACATCGTCGTCCGCGTGTTCCATGCCCGCTTGCGGAGGTCCATCGCTTATCCATTGGCCTTCGGCCGCCCCGCCGAGCCGCCGCGCGGGCGCCCCCGACGAACCGCGATCGCCACCCCCCTCGCGGCCATGCGCGCCTCGGGGAAATCTGAATGAATTTCTAGCTGCCAAGCGAAGGCCTTCCAAGACAGACCGACCAGGTCACGCGGGCCTTCCCAACGACATCTCGCTTATACATGTTTCTGGGGAGCTCCTGGCTATCGCGGATGCAAGCGTCTCGGCGTCGATTCGAGAGTTTTCAGCGACGCCTCCTGAAATCGCGTTTGATGCCGCGCCTTCAGAACATCTTGAAGGCCATCTGCAGCTCCCCCACTCGCGTGGGATTCTTCTCCCGCGCGCATCGGCCTTCCCCGCGCGCCATGACCTTCCCCCCCCCCCTGATGGTCACGCGCGCGGCCGAAAGAATTCGGGGCGCCCCCAGTCTGCGCCAATGGTGCAGTTGCGGATTTGAAACGCGATTTTGCCGGGGACAGCCGGTATCTGGTGAAAGTCATCGAATGCCAGTTGCGCGGCCTCCCACACGCGCACATCGCCCTCGCAGTGACGAGCCCGCCCGTCGCGCCCGCGGAGGTGGACAGGTTGATTTCTTGCGAGCTGCCTGCGGACGCGGGCGCGTTGTGCGACCTCGTGCTGCAGCACATGATCCATTCCTGTAGTCATTCGTGCCGCCCGCAGGATCCGCTCCAGGACTGCAGCAAGGGCTGCCCATGGCCATTCCAAGCGGAAGCCGAATTCGACGTCCGCGGCTACCCTCATCATCGAAGGCACCCGTGCGGAGGTCACTGCCCGAACTGTCAGGGGCGGGCGCCGCCCTACGGCAGACGACCTATCTGCGTGAACCGCCTCATTGTCGATCGAGTACAACGCCGACATCCGGCGATTATGGAGGGGCCACGCGAACGTCCAGTTCGCCGGCAGCGTGGAGCTTTTCGAATACCTTTACAAGCACCTCTTCAAAGGCCCCGCGGAGACCAGCTACGACGTGACAGTGGACCCCGACATCCAGGACGTATTCCGAGCGTGGCTCGCCGGGCGCTACCTCTGCGCCACGGAAGCCGCTTGGCGCGCGCTCGGCTACAACAAGTGCGACAGGTGGCCGCGCGTCGTTTGCCCCCCAGTCCAGGTGGATGGCCAAGACTGGGTTCTGTTCGAAGAGGGCAAGGAGGCCGAAGCAGTCCAGGGACGCACTTCCCCTTTACAGCGGTATTTCCACCGCCCTCTGCGAGCCTGCTCTGCGCGCTCAAGTACAACGAGTACTACGATCAGTGCGCGGTTGCCCCCGCTTGCCCCGTTCGCTTGCGCTGCAACCTCCCAGAGCTCTTCCCTGAGGCCGCCCCAGCGCCCGACGCGGCGTGGATGGACGTGGCGCCCCTTGGTCAACGCCATTTCGTGCATCCACATCAACACGGAGAAGCCCCTATCTGGAGGCTGGAGATGAAGTTCCCCCGGCAGAAGGGGGTATTCGCCACCGGCCTGTTCGCCGCCAGCGCGGAGGGCCGCGAGGTCCTTGGCGAGCTCATTGTACGCTGCCAGCCAGTTGCTCTTCGCTTGCCTCGTGCTCCCCGAGAAGGATTCAGCGCCGGTGGAGCTCTTCGCCAAGTACCAACGACCGTTGATGAGATTTCTTGGGCCGGGGACTTTCTCCGCAACGCGCGCGGGAGCAGCTCGTCCGCCTGCTCAGGGCCACCTGGTTGGAGAACGGCAACCTCGAATCCTCTCGGAAGCTCGCCGCCCCAGATGGCGACCGTCACTTGCCAGCGCCGCCCGCCCCGCGCGCGGAGCCCACGTTGGGCGATCTGCAGGCCAAAGTGTCACGGTGCTCTTCGCAACGCGCCGTCGCTGCTGACATCCTTCGCCGCTGGCGCAACGCCGAGGAGGCATTCATCTTCTGCGAATGGAAGGCCGGAGCGGGAAAGTCCACGCTGGCGCAATACATCACAGCGACAGTGGAAGCCGCCGGCGACGTGGTCATTAACGTCGCCAGCGCAGGACACGCAGCCTTGCAACTCTCTCATGGGGCCACGGCGCACTCCGTCTTTGCCTCCCCTGTGGGCGACTCGCCAGAGCTGTTCAGCAACCTCAATGTCCGCTCTGCAGCGGCTCTCTACCTCGCCCGATCATCCAGTGGGGCGAGTGGCCGTGCGTTCGCAAGGCCGCATGGGAGTCCGCCCTGAGCTTGCTCGACGCGCATAAAGCCCAGCGCCCCCGAGAATACCAGTCGGAGGTCTTCATCTGCCACGGAGACTTCCGCCAGATCCCTCCCGTCATCCCGATAGCCAGTCGCCGCGTCATCGTTGGGCCAAGTTCACCTGGTTCCACTTTTCCCGCGTTTGGCGGCAAGCTGACGACGTTTCTTTCTGCCAGTGGATCGACGGCATAGGTGGCGGCGCGCAGACAATTCAGAGCAACGACGCCGGTGACTTGGGATTCGCGCCCCCTGCGAGACATCGCCACCGTGGCCGACGAAGCAGACGCCGTCCGACGCGCATTTCCTCGCGCCAACGACCCACGCGACTGCGCCAATTCCAAGATCCTGGCCGCCGTGAACTCGCTGGTGGACGCACGCAACGAGCGCATTCTGGACGTCTTGGAGCGCACTTACCTTTGTTCTTCCTACCATTTGCTGAGCGCCGACGCGCTGGACTTCGATTCGACGGGCCTCATCGAGCCGCACTTGACTGCAGATTTCCTCGCGCTCCAGAACGCCCCAGGCGCGCCGCCCCATGACTTGCACATTTTGGTCGGTGGCCTTTTCGAGCTCGCGAGGAATTTCAGCCCCGTCAAGCGGCCGATGAACCATGCGCCGGTCATAGTGAAGGCAGTCCACCGACATCGCATCCTTATAGAAACTTTGGACGGCCGAGAGCATCCATTACAGCGCATCGTCTTCCGCTGGCAGATTGTCAACGGCACGACCACCATGGCCCGTCGACAATATCCTTTACGGGCAGCGTACGCGTCCACCTTCAATGGAGGGCAAGGCCGCGCGCTCGCGCGCGCGTGCTTGGACGTGCGCCGCAGCATTTTTGCTCATGGCCATCTGTATGCGGGCGTGAGTAGAGTCAAGAACCGCGCCGATATGCGCGTTCTCTCCGACCGTCATAACCTGAACCAGGACGGCAACGCTTTAGTGCGCAACGTCGCCTGGCCTGAATTGCTTTTGCGATCGGACCCGCCTCGTCCGAACCACCCTGGCCTCACGCCGCGGAAGCGACCTGCCGCCTGCCGATGATGATCGCAGAACAAATGCTTGTCATTCCGTGTTGCTCCCTTCTCTAACGGTCGGTCGCCACCCCTTTTTCTGGCAATGACCTTCACCCCCCTCGCGGTCACTGGCGTCGACCCCTCGTCGCGCCGACGCCTGCACCTCGCCGACGATCGTCGCATCCACTTGGCCGCGTCGACATCGTCCTCCCCGTCGTGGTCGTCGTCGTCGTCGTCGTCGTCGTCGTCGTCGTCGTCGTCGTCGTCAGCCTCCTCCCCGTGATCACCTTCGTCCTCCAAGCTTGACCTCATTCTTTCATTTTCTCACCCCGCTCACGCTCATGGAGTTGTTCCGTCACCGCCATGACCGCGACCCCCCTCGTGGTCGCCGTTTCCTTTCACCTCTCATCGGCGACAATGGCCTCGTCGCAGTGGGTCGTCCTCTCCCAAACGAAAGAAAGCCTGCGACCCGTCCGGAATTCATGACCGCGACCCCTCCCATGGTCATCGCGTGCGTGCAGCAATCACTCGCTCATCGAATGTTTGGGTGCGCGTGGGCGCAGGCCCAACATCGAAGCGAAGCGAAGCGAACCCTCAAATCTTCTATATATAAATATATACATACAAGACTGAAATGGCGCTTCGCGCCAAACACCTTGGTCCCTGAAGTTTGGTATGCATGTGGGTTGGCAGGAATGTCAAGCCGACAATTTAGCGATAATTCATTGCTGCCTTTTTCCGACATCGCCGTTATAAAAATGTTAGTCGTGATCTGTCCTCCATGTTTTTTTTTCCATTCTCGCCATACCCTGCGCATGCTCCCCATCTTCCGCAACTCTTTTTGCGAAGGCTCTTCCTTGGAAAGCCTCTTGGGGCCTCACACAAGTTTTTCTGGTTTTCTTAAGGCCTGGAGACCTCCTGGGCGTGTTTTGGGGGCCTCTGGGGGTTTCCTCGGGCAACCCTGCTTCCAACAGCGGTTTCCCTGAACGACCAGGTCACGATTTGGAATGCTTCGGGGGGTGTATTGGGGCCACTATTGGCCGCCATGGCGGGAGCTCTCTTAGGGCCATCTTAGACCCCTGTTGTGCCGTTTCGGGGCTCTCTTGGACTGCCTGGAAGCCCTTTCGGATGGTTGCGGGGCGATTTGGGAGCCTCCCAGGTGGCTTCGGACACCCAGAAGACCGCCGTCTTGGAGCGTCGGGAAGCCGAAAAGAGGAAAACACCAAAACTCACCAAAACCCAACAGAAAATCAATGATTTTTGCCTCTTGGAGCCTTCTTGGGAGTGCTCTTGGAGGCCTCTTAGGGTGGACCGTACTGGGGCTCTCTGGGGTCGTATCGGGAGCGCGCCGGAGCGCCTGGAGCCCGTCTGGTACCGTCTTCGGGCTCTCGTGAGGTTCTCCCGGGTCGTCTGATGGGTTGCCCGGAGGCCCGGGGACGGCCAAATTCGTTGGGGGGGGGGGCTTTCTCTGGCGTCCCCGGCCCCATATAGATATAGATATGAATAGGAATGTGTGTGTGTGTGTGTGTGTGCGTGTGCGTTAAGACGAGCGTGCGCGTAGCCAAGGCGAGATCTTTATGTTGCAATCAACATGTGTCCCGTCCGTGTAAATTTTGGAAATTTCGAGCTTCCGGGCGAAGCGCCCGACCCGCTCTAACGACATGTCTGGTGGTGCGGCAGGGAGGATTCATTTACAAAGAAGAGGGATGGAGGAGCAGGAAGAGAAAGATGGGGAGGAACATCAAGAAAACGAGAAGGAGAAGAGGAATATAAGGATGAGAAGGGAAGGAGGGAGAGGAGCAAAAAGGGCAGGAAGAAGGGGGAGGAGGGGATGAAGGTAAGGGGAGGAGGGAGATGATGATGATGATGATGATGATGATGATGATGATGATGATGATGATGATGATGATGATGATGATGATGATGATGATGATGATGATGATGATGATGATGATGATGATGATGATGATGATGATGATGATGATGATGATGATGATGATGATGATGATGATGATGATGATGATGATGATGATGATGATGAGGAGGAGGAGGAGGAGGAGGAGGAGGATGATGATGAGGATGATACTGATGATACTGATGATACTGATGATACTGATGATACTGATGATGATGCTGATTATGATGAAGATGATGGTGATGGTGGTGCTGATGATGATGATGATGATGGTCTTGATGATGTTGATGATGCTGATGGCGCTGATGCTGAAGATGCTGACGGTGTTGATGATCATGGTGATGGCGGTGCTGACGGTTGTGTGATGTTGATGCTGATGCTGATGCTGATGCCAATGATGATGATGATGATGATGATGATCATGAGGATGATGAGGATGATGATGATGATGATGATGATGATGATGATGATGATGATGATGGTAGTGATGATGATGATGATGCCGATGCCGATGATGATGCCAAGGATGATGCTGACGATGGTGATGATGATGCCGATGATGATGATGATGATGATGACGATGATGAGGATGATGGTGATGGTGATGGTGATGACGATGATGTTGACATGACGATGATGAACTCTCAGTAATGAATGATGAATGGTGATGATGATGCTGATGACGTTGATGATGCTGATGATGATGATTTTGGTGGTCGTGGTGATGATGACAATGATAGTGATGATGATGATGATGATGATCATCATCATGATACTGATGATGATGATGATGATGATGATGATGATGATGATGATACTGATGATGATGATGATGATGCTGATGATGATGATGATGATGATGATGATGGTGATGATGGTGATGGTGAAGGTGAAGGTGATGGTGATAGTGCTGGTAATGTTGATGGTGATGGTGATGATGATAATGATGATGAGGAGGAGGAGGACGAGGATGAGGAAGGTGATGAGGATGAGTATGCTGATGATGATGAGTGGGAGGAGAACAGTGGAAGAGAAGGATGAGGTGGAGAAAGAGGAGGATGGATAGGAAGAGAAGGAGGAGGAGGAGGAGGAGGAGGAGGAGGAGGAGGGAGGAGGAGGAGGAGGAGGAGGAGGCGGACGGGGAGGAGGAGAAGGAGGAGGAGGCGTGATGACGGGGGTTGGGGGAGGAAGAGATGGGGAACGAAGGACGGACTTGAAAATGGAGTAAGCCGAGGAGCAGAGGGGGAATAAGAACAAGGGGGAGGCACAGGAGAGGAGAGGACCTCCTGTCAGGCGAGGTCGTATGCGTCGCCGCCGCGTGAGCACGGCCGTGCGTGGGCCTGCTGCTGCCGTCCCTGACGCCTCCCTCCATGTTGCTCCCGTCCCCCCTCATCCTTCTCCTCCTCCTCCTCCTCCCTCTGTCTCCGCGTCCATTCCTCCTTCCCGTCCTCCCCCTTCTCCTTTGTACTCCTCCCCCCCTCCCCTCCTCGCTCCTCCCCTCTTCCTTCTCGTTCCCTCCTCCTCTTCCTTCCTTCCCCTCCGAGACAAGCCCTTCGCAGCGAAAGAGGCTTGGCTTCTGGACAATGTGCGTGTACGCTCCTGTGGGACGTCCGGAAGTAGGTTTGGTCCATCGGCCATCGTATGATGTTCGCCATGTGTGCGCAGCACATTTTGCCCTTGAATCTGTCGCGGGCGGCAGGTTTGGAGGTGGGCTACGACGGATGCCTATGTGTACTCTATCCGACGCTTGAACCATTCTCTCCATCGTAGTGAAAGGATTTGGCCGTCAACTCCGAGTCGAACCCCCTTGGCGGCCTCCTTCCGAGTTGATGAGCCCCCGTGGCGGCCTCCCTCCGAGTTGACGAACGCCGTTGACGGCCTCCCTTCCAAGCTGGCGAGCCGCCTTGACGGCCCCCCTCTGGGGTGACGACCCCCCGTGGCGGCTTCCCTCCGAGCTGATGACCCCCCCCCTTCACCGCCCCCTCCGCCTCGACGAACAGAGCGTCGGGGCCGAACTGACGGTCAAAAACGACGTCGGTCTTGCCGAGTCCACGGCTCCTCTCTGTCTTGACGAAAGAAGCGTGGGAGTTGGATCGACGAACGTTGTCGCCTTGGCGAGCGTAATCTTGGGGCCGACTTGACGACTGTTGTGGGCGCTTCTCCAGACATGCGCCGTCTCAGCCATTGGGTTGGACTCAAGTTTGCCCATGGCCATCGCGCATGTGTGCCTCACGGCCTACAGCAGCGCTAGGCTTCTGGTGCTGCCGTTTTATTCTTGCAGTGGCTTTCTGCGCTCAGAGTAGTATCGTCGCCAGCTGCTGTGCTGCGACTCACGACCGCGATGATTCGGGTCAACCGATAAGACAGCTTTGCCTCGAACTGCTTCTTTGCAGCACGCTCTTCATCTGAGCCCCTGGTCCTGGCCACCACGTAGCTCCACGCTGCCGTGACCGACGGCAAGGGTCGACGCTGGCCGAGGACCAAGGTGTCCGACTGTGTTCTCGCGAGGAGCTCGGTCTGGCTGTTCAAGCTACCCGGTGCTCGAACAGGTTCATCGGGGGTGGTGTCGGTCTGGCGCCTGGGCGTACCGCGGCCGGCCCCTGGCACAGCTCCGCCCGCACCTCGGCTCCCCGCCCCTCTGGACCCGCATTCGCCAGGGTGGTAGCCCTGGCGTTCGGGGTCCATTCCCTGGGCGGCTGCCGTTCTCCCTCGGACCACCGTGCCTCCCCGAGGCCTTGCCCGAGGCCTAGCGAGGGCTCCCCTGAGGCGGCGCGCGGTGGGGGGCCCAAACGATGGGCGCGGTGCTCCTGGCACAGGCTGAGCCAAGCCTCCTCGCCAAGCTCCTGCCTCTCCCTCCTCCGTATGGGCCTGACTAAGCCCTCGCCTCTCGCGAAGCACCTCCGCCAACTGGTGCAGGTTGTCCAGCTCGTCGTCTGTCATGAAGGATCCGCGGTCCCGCTCCAGGGCCTCGAGGGATTCCACGATGGCGTCACAGGCATCCCCCAGGTCGTCGAAGCCATCATTCTGCTGGAAGCGCTCTGCCACGTCCAGCGGATGCTCGCCGCTGCCCGAGCGTGCCCGCAGGTATTCCAGCACCAGCGCATCCTCCCCACGCCGGCGCCATCGCTCTCGGGCCGCGCCACTCAGGAGCCCCCCTAGCTCCTCCCTGGACAGCGTGTCCCGCCAGGGTGGCTGCGGGGTGTAGGCGGGGGGAGGCATGGGCGTGGCCCCATGGGCCGCGCTCCCCGCCTGGCCCCCGAGCCTCTCCTCTTCTCCTCGCTGGATGATGCGCAGCGGGTGCTCCTCGCGGCCGGCCACGCCCTTGGCCAAAGCGAGGGCCACCGGGCTAGCCGTCCTGCCGTGCTCGTCCATCCCGTCCTGGACCAGCGTACTCGTCTTCAGAATCATGGCGGGTGCCCCCGCGGACACTGCCTCCTCGCGCACGCGGTCGTCTACCACTGGCCTCAGGTTGCACGGAATTGTCGCCAGCAGGTCGAGGCAGGCTGCTCGGTTGGTGGTCCACACTGACTCCGCCCGGGCCTGCTGGCACCGGTAGACGTAGCACGTGCCTGCGGTCTCCGAATCCTTGGGCCCGCGCACCATGGCCGCGAGCCAGGCCCGTTGGCACTGGCGATCCTGTCTGACGTGTAGGCTCTGGTCGGATGCGGGGATCGCGACCTGGACCCCTCGGACGTTCGGGCGTCAACCCAGCCGCCACCACTGCTGGTTCTTCAGGTCGGTCTGCATGTGGGCCCAACCGTCGAGTCGCAGACAAGTCGTGGTCGAGGCAAGTCAGGACACCGCAGTTCATCACCCGGCCCTGCGAATGGCAACCGAGGTGCGCGCACTTCTTGCTCCCGCGCCCCCTCTGGTATGTGTTAATGTGCTGCCAACACAACGTCACCGCCCTCTTTAAGCCCTTGATGTTGAACTTCCCCCCGTCCTCCGTGACCAGACGGATCGGCCCCCCCTGGGCGCGATCGCGGCATTTCTCCTTCGACAGTTGGTAGATGGTGTCGCCCTCCTGGTACAGAACGTCGTGGGCCCTGCAGCGCTGGTGTTCAAGCTCCGACTCAGTCTCCGAGTTCGGGTCCTCGAGCAGCTCCGCTGGGGTGTCCGCCGCGCTCCTTTGGCCACGCTGGCACCCCCGCTGCCCGCACCTCTTCACTGACCCACAGAGCTTCGCACGCACCGTCAAGCCCACCGCGCACCCTCGCCCACGCGGGGCCGCCGCCGTACCAACCGCCCTCCCAAACCAGCAGGGCTTCGGCGCGGCCGGGATCAACGCCTCCAAATTGGTGTCGGAGTCGGCCGTGACGTACCTATAAGCTGGAGCATGGACGGCGTAATGACCGTCGTCGAGGCACGGCACCTCCCGACAGAGGTGGATCACATTGTCCTGGGAGTCTTCCAGGATGTCTTGTTGGCGTCGTGAGGTTGTTGGCGACGCCTCCTTGTAGGGCCAAGCGACCCCAGCCTTCTTGCACTTGATGCCGGCGCTCAGCGAAGGGCGATCCAGCCGGGCAGCGGTATCCCCCACCTTGATGATCAGGTGGTTCGGCACTTTGTCGGCTCCCTTCGCTCGCAGTTGTGCATATAACTCGTTCTCCACAGGCGTCAGGGTCGCAGGTCTCCGGAGCTCTGGCACGACACCCTCGTCCGCAGCGGCTGGCCCTGACGCCTTCGCTGGGCAGCGCCATCCGAAAAGTCGCCCAACCCACTTGAGCGGCGCGCGCAGCAAGAGGTCGAGAGCTGAGGCGATGGACTGGAGCCAGCGCCCGAGGCCGATCACCAGAGCCACAACGAGGCCCGCGAACGTCGTCCAGCACAGCATTGGCCACCCCGCGCCACAGGCCGCGTAGCCCAGCGTGTTGAGACCGCTCCCGATGACCCCGCCGCCGCCCTAGGCGATGTCCGACCACTTGAGCTCCGTCTTCGGAAGGTCCGTGAACCAACCGGCCAGCCAGCTGACCCCGAATTTCATGCCGCCGAAGCCGAACCAGCCATGAGCGTCCTCCTCCTCGTCCTGCGCCGCCTCCTGGGCCGGCGCAGGGGGTGGGCCGGCGTCCTGCGACAGGTCGGTGGTCGGCGGCTCTCGGTTCCAACCTGCGACCCAGTTCCAGGCGGGACTCCCCCTCCTCCTGACGGCGCCTGACCCCTCCTCACTGGCTCCTGGCGCCGGCGGGCACCGCTGGGGAGGCTGCGGCGGGGGCGGCTGTCGAACCCTTGCCACCCGCGGCCGTGCCGGGCGGCGGTGCGCGGGCGACTGTCCGCCCCTTGCCCCCGGGCGGCCTTGGCGACTCGGCCTGAGGGGGTGGATGGCTTTGCGGCGTCTCCTTCGCCGCCACCGCGCCGCGACGCCGCTGGCCCTCCTCCGGCGCCCGCAGCAGAGGAGGGTACGCTGTCCCTCCAACCTCGTCTGCCCACAGTTCACCTACGGGCCCCACTGCGCCTCGCGGGCCCCGCCGCCGCCCGATCTCCTCCGCCGCGGCGGCCCCGATGAGGATGGGCAGGAAGGCCATCGTCAAGGGGCTGTCCCTTCCACGCTTGAGGCAGCAGCCTGTCCCCCTGCCTCTCCCTCGCTGGATCGATCCTTCTGCCTCGCTGTCGCGCCTGGGCCGGCAGCCCCGGGCGCGCGGCTGAGACCCTTCGAGCGTCAGCCTCCAGGGCCCCAGCGAGCAGCCGCCAGGGGCCCCTTCTGGGCACCAGGCCGCTGCTGTGCGCGGGGCCACCACCGCAGGCAGCTCCGCCATCGCCCTGCGCGGCCCCGGCCGCCCGAGCGCGCAGCTCCTCGGACTCAAAGGCCCGAGAGGGAAACGTGAGCCCAAATGGGCCGCGGACAGTACCCCTGCCCAGGCCCCCCCCTCTAAAACCTTCCGTTCTAGGCTGCGCGGGACGCGGTGCCATGGCGGACTGGGGCGGCGGAGCAGCAGCCGCGGCAGTCCTTCGCGGCGGAGATCGTTTCGGCCGCGGTGGAGGCTTCGGCGCGCACTGCACTGGGGCCTCGCATCGTGCGGAGTCCAATCCGCCACGCTGGGGCCCCTGCGATGGCCAGGCCGTCTTCGGCCCCGCCGCCGCTGCTGGCGATCGGGGACGGCCACCTAGAGGCGCCGCCAGGCGCGCGGGTGGCACCGCGGCCATCATTGAGGCCTGTGACGAGGACGGGGCGGAGCCGCACTCGTTCGAGGTCTTCAACTGGGGCGGCTTCTTCGGCCGCAAGGTCGCATAAATGGGGCAGTGAAGGTGAGCGCGCGCTGGTCGCGCTGGTCGACGACCGCACGGCAGCGCGCCTCCGCTCGCGATTGCGGACCCCGAGGGCCAGTTTGGACCCGCCGTCGTCGTGGCTGGGAGCCAAGTCGACGCCCGCGGTGGAGGTCCCGACGGAGAAGACGGACAAGAAGGACAAGAAGGGAAAGAAGCACAAGAAGAGGCGCCGCTCGGGTTCGCGCTCGGCCAGGGTGGTCAGGGAGGTGGACTGAAAGAGTGGGGCTCAGCGAAGGATCTCGACACGGTCGCGCGGAAGCCTGAGACCTTCAGGCTCGACGACGAGGAAGACGGCCAGGGCAGCAGCGCGAGCGAGGCTGCTTTGCTGGACTGGTACGACAGCAGGGTGGTGGTCAAGGAGCTGGAGGCGGTCCCGCCGCCCCCGTCGCTGGGCGGATCTGGCTCGTCGTGGGGCGACGTCTTGCGGGCCAACAGCGAAATCTACAAGAAGGAGGAGCAGGTGGCCGCGTTTCGGCGGCTCGCGAACGACCAGGTGGTCGGCGCGTTCTTGGGAAAGGGCAACTTCGTGGAGTGCGAGGCGGTGGTGGCGAGCATCGCGAAGGTTGAGGCCTCCCCATCGCTCCAGCAGCTGGGCGACAGCAGCGTGCTGGACCCCTATCGAGGAGCAGGCATAGCAACAGGAGGAAATCAAGGCGCAGCGCGCCAAGGTGGGCATGGACACTATCCTGGAGCCGTTCGGCCTCGGAGAAGCGGGCCACTTCGGGGAGGGCGAGGAGTTCCTCGAGGAGCTCTACGCGGAGCACGCCCAGTGGTTGGCGTGGAGTTCGAGGACTACCCCAGCTTCGGCCTGGAGTTCGAGGAGTCCTCCCAGGTGCAGGGTACCGAAGGCTCGTCGCCTTCCCTGCCCTCAGACCTTGCGTGAGAGCAGGCTGCGCCCTGGAGGGGGGGCACCTGGCCCTGAGGGTTCCGTGGGGTTCCTTGGGCTGGGCCCTGGCCTTTGGCGGGCTGCGGTTTTTGGTGGCCTTCGGGCCTTGGCCCTTTTGGGCCGCGTCGCCCTGTCGGACCGCTGGGGGGACTGGCACCCGCCCTGGGGCTGGGGCGGCGAGCGCGGCGGACAACCGTTGCGATTTCGTCGGTCCCTCGGTCCCTCCTCCTCCTCCTCCTCCTCCTCCTCCTCCTCCTCCTCTTCCTCCTCCTCCTCCTCCTCATCTTCCTCCCTCCTCCTCTTCCTCCTCCTCCTCCTCTTCCTTCCCCTCCTCCTCCTCCTCCTCCTCTTCCTCCTCCTCCTCCTCCTCCTCCTCCTCCTCCTCCTGCTCCTCCTCCTCCTTTTCCTCCTCCTCCTCCTCCCCCCCTCTCCCCCCTCCCTCCCCCTCCGCCCTCCCCACTCTTTGCCCCCCCCTTCTCCCTTCCCCCCCCCTTCTGTTGCAGGTTTGCTCCTCCCTCACCCCTCGGCCCCCCCTCAGCCCCCACCCTTCCCGCGCGCCTCCCTCGCTCGTCGCGCGCCCCCCCTCCTCTGCCCAGCACGGGGCGGGGAGGGCGGGGAGGGCTGAGGCCCCGCCCCGCCGCGAGACGCGCCCCTGCCGCCACATGAGCGCGGGCCTCTTCGCGCGCGGGCATGTTCTGTCTTCGTGCCCGCGGACGTAGCCGCCAGCGAGTGTCGTGTCAGGCCACCGCCGAAGCAGGCCGTGCGACCTCGCGCGGGCGGCGGGGAGGCAGGGGAAGGAGGAGGAGGAGGAGGAGGAGGAGGTGGAGGACCGGCGTACACCCAAGAGTCATCCACGATGTCGGGTTATACCCTCCCTCCAAGCTCCCTCCAAGTTCCCTCTTCCTCCTTACCTCCACCTCCGCACCTGCTCTGCGCAAGCAATTTGCGCGACCTGACTGGCTGGCATGCGTTTGGCTTGTCGCCTGTTGGAATGAAGTAATGTTCTAACGCGCTCTCTGCGCATCGCAGCCCAATTGGCTGGAGTTTGTCGCGTCGACGAGCAGCTATGGACGCGAGTAATTTGATCCGCGTCCGCGCGACTGGAAGGAAAACAAACAAATCCCTCCAAGCTCCCTCTGCATAGGCCCCTATAACGGTTCATTTCCATGGACGGAACTGCCACGTTGGAAGACAACCGTTTGAGGACCCTGAAGCATGCCAAAACATTGTTCTCGGGATTCCAACGCCACGGATCAACCTGATTGTTGCGCCTTGGCGATCCTGAATCGTGCCAGAACGCCGCTCTTGGGACTTCAACACCGCGATTCAACATGACTGTTGCACCCTCATGGTCCTGAATCTTTCCACAACATTATTTCTTGTACGCTGATCATGGGAATCCGTGAGATTTTTCGCACGCTTTACACACGAATGCGCGCGGCGCTAATGCGAGAGCCACATTTTGAAAAGGAACCTTCTTCAATCCGTGAAACTCTTGCAGCTCTTTAAGACGAATGCACGCGGCGCTAAGGCGGGAACCACATTTTGGAAACCAATCGCCTTCAATCCGCGAAGCTCTTGGTAATTAATGTGCCGCTGAGGCCTTCGGTGGAGCTCCCTATGGGCTTATGGGGCCACGAAACGTGTAAGGGGTGTGCCAAATCGGATGCGGGTACGCCATGCGGACTGTGCCGTTGGGGCCTTCGGTGGAGTTCCCTAATTATGGGGCCGTCAAAGCTATGAGGGGTGTGCCACATCGGGTGCGGGTACGGCATGCGGACTGTGCCGCTGGGGCCTTCGGTGGAGCTCCTTATGGGGCGGCGAAACGTGTGAGGGGTGTGCCAAATCGGATGTGGGTCCGCCGTGCGGACTCTGCCGCTGGGGCCTTCGGTGGAGCGACCTATGGTGCCACGAAACGTGTGAGGGGCGTGCCGAACTGGCGGAGGCCAGAGGCAAGGGTGGGAGGATGGGGAGGGAGGAGGCGGGAGGCAGGCGGGAGAACGCGGGGCGCTGCCTCTTCAAAGGGAGGACCCAACACCGCAGGATGCTTGGGAAGTAATATGCGCATGCGGATGTCGACGCGGACCTCCTTGGGTTGGCGCTGGACCCCCACCCCCAGGCGGCGCGCGTGTTGTGCCTCCTCTTTGGCACGCGTGGGGGGAGTGTCAGGCGTCGGCCCGAGAGTTCCGCGCAGAGTTTGTGTGGCGTGTGGGGCTTGTATGGTTGGCCCTTTCCGGGCTTCGGGGGTGATGCTCGCTTGCGTTCGCTTTTGCTTTCAGGCCAAGGTGCGCTGCAGGAGTTTGCCCATCGCAGGTCGGCTCGTGCGAGTTTCCCGGTTTGCCCGGCGGCGTCTTGATTCGCGCAACGGGGAGCGGAGCTGACCTAATCCAGCTTAATCCCGCGTAATCCGCGGCCTAATCCAGCGTAGCAGCCCCCCAATGGACTCTAGTCCTCCTTATTTTTTCCGATGACCTCCCAGTAGTTGCCTCCGAACTTTCCGCGCATCCGAAGGATCGGATCGGCCTTCCACGCGAGAACGGGCATGGCTGCCGGGCGAGCTCCAGACAGCCCACTCGGGCCTGGCGGTCGAGGTTGGGCCCGTTTTGAAAGGGGCCAGAGGAAGCTCAGGGTTCCAAGCCTTAAGTCGGGCACATCCCTCTACAGGGGGAATATTCAGTTAGCCTGTCGAAGAACCCAACCATATGCAGTTGTGAGTATCGCAGTGGTGAATAACGCCTCTAGTGGAGCTGCCCAGGGGGCCACGTGCGACGTGCACGCCGAATTGGAACGCGTGAGGGGCGTGCCGAATCGGGTTCGGGCACGCCATTTGGAGCTTGCTGCGGGAGCCTTCTGTGGAGCTCCTTGTGGGGCGACGAACCGTACAAAGGTTGTGCCGAATCGGGTCCGTGTACGCCATGTGGACCCTGCCGCTGGGGCCTTCGGTGGAGCTCCCGATGGGGCCACGAAACGTGTGAGTGGTGTGCCGAGTCGGGTGCGGGTACGCACTATCCACTACTCACTAATGCGTACTCACAGTTCACTACTCACTACTCACTGCCCATAACTCACTACTCACTATACGCTGCTCGCTACTCGCTATTCGCTACTCCCTACACAGTACCTACTGCTCACTACTCACTACTCACTACTGGCTACTCCCTACTCGCTACCCGTTACTCTCTAGTCACAAGTCGCTACGCTACTCACTACTGTGTTCAGTACTCACTACTCAATACCCACGACTCACTACCCACTACGCACGACTCACTACTCACTACTCACTACGCAATATTCACTACCCATTACTCACTACTCACTACCCACTGCACTACTCCCTACTCTCTACTCACTAGTCACTAGTCACAAGTCGCTACTCACTACTAACTACTCACAACTAACGACTCACTACTCCCTACTCACTACTCGCTACTCCCTACGCACTAGCCACTGCCCAATACTTCATACCCACTTCTCACGTTTCACTACTCACTACTCCCTACTCACTAGTCACTACTCGCTACCCGCTGCTCGCTACTCGCTACTGAATACTCCCTCCTCACTACTCACTACTCACAGTGCCCTATTCACGACTCACTATTCACTACTCGCTACTCCCTACTCGCTACTCACTACCCACTCCCCACTACCCACTATTCACTACTCACTACTCACTACTCACTGCGCACTACTCACTCATCACTCATCACTACGGATGTCTCGGATCGGCGCTGAACCCCCCTCCCTGGCGCGCGGAGCGCGCCAGGGGCGGCGCCGGAGGCGCCGCCAGGGGGGTCCAGCGCGGATCCGAGAAATCTGCGCGGACCTCCGAGTTTTTATGTTTATGTCACTTTTTTGAGGGATGAAAAAACGACCCTACCCTGGACTACAAGTGCGTGGCCTGTAAACCTCCTGGGAACCCCCAGAGCCCAGAGCCGCCAGGACGCGGCACATCACGCAGGGTTTGCCCTGTCAGCCCACAGGAGTTTCAGAGCACGGCGCCTCGCCAACCAGGGTAGGGGCGTTTTTTCTGCCCTTGATTTTTGTTCCCCTACTCTCGGGGGCCACCTCGTGAGCATGGGGCCTCTCGGGGTGGCCCCGCCCAGCGCAGGCTCAGGCCATCGGACCAGCTCCTAGCATGGGCGTCGATCGCGAGGTGGGCCAAGCATTTGATGAGAGCGAGGGCGCAGCTCGTGAAGCTCATCACGCTGTGCGTGCACGACCCTGGGCCTCGCCTGCCGGGGGCGGCGAAGAACGCGGTGGACTTGTTGGCTGTTGGCCTTCTTTGGCCGCATCCACAAGGCGCGCCACATCTGGGAGAAGGTCCCAGCCGAGGTCCAACAGCTGTTCGCGCTTCGCCTGGAGGTGCTCATCATCCCCTCCTTCGACCTGCGCCTTGGGGACCTTGTCATGACGCACAAGGACCTCCAAGCGAAGCACGAGGCGGCAGCGGCCGCGAGATGGCGCGGCTGGGTCGACGATGTGTTCAAGAACGGGGCAGGATGCGGCCATCGGGCCACCAGGCTCCAGGAGCGCCTCGAGGTGTTGAGCCAGACGGGGCAGGCGGACCCCTGCGCGCTGGCCGACAAGGCCAGGGAGCAGTGGGAGGAGCTGTGGTGCGCTCACGGCGCCGTATGGCTGCCGCTGCCCGGCGATGCATCGAGGTGGGCGCAGCTGCCGCCGCTCGACGGGCCACGGCTGCGCGCGGCTACGCAGTCTTTCAGCTGGAAGACTGCGGTGGGCCAGGGCCGCATGCATCCCAGGGCGATGTGGTTCGCCTCGGACGCCGCCTTCGCCACGCTCGCGCTGCTCGTGCGGTGCGGGGCCATGCTATCATGGCCATCCCAGTTTATCATAAACGTCATGGTTCGGTTGCCGAAGCCAAATGGCGGCACGCGCCTCATAGCGCTCGTCTCCACGCTGGTCCGCGTCTGGGCCAGGGCGCGGAGGCCGTTGTCGAGGAAGTGGTCAAGCAGCATCCTCATGAGTGCGTCTTCGGCCTCCGGCGGGGCTACTCGTCGGTGGATTCGGCACATGGCCACAACATCACGGCCGAGATCGCCCACTTGCTTGGCGAGTCCAGCCTCATATTGGACTTGTACAAGGCCTTCGACAGCGTCCTGCTGGGCCCGCTGCTGGAGGAGGCGCGGAGGCTTCGCTACCCCATGCGGTTGTGCTGGCAGCTCATCGGCTACTTCGTCTGCCGAGGGGCGTTCGCACATACGGCTCCTGGAGCCGCGAGGTGTGCGCGCGCCAGAGCATCCTGGCTGGGTGCACGCACGGCGCGGGACTGTTGACCGTGCTGCTCTACAGGGCGGTGACGCGCCTGAGGAGGGTTGCGGATGACCTCGCGCCGAGGGGCCTAATGGACGACCTTGCGCTACATTGGATCGGCGAGCAGGTCGGAGCTGGCCGCTGCACCTTCCACCGCGCCGTCGTGGGCTTCACGGCCGACGTGAAGCCGCTGGGGATGGAGGTCAAGCCCAGCAAGTCTTGCTGGCTCGCCGCCACCAAGGAGGCGCAGCGGGCCTTTGCCCCCGCGGCGCGCCAGCTGCGCCCCCGGCAGCGCGCTGAGACGCGCAACCTGGGGCATGATACCCATGGCCGTGGCGTGCGGCACACGATCGCCAAGGCCAGGCTGAAGGCTCGAGGGCCAAGGGTTGCGGCGCTCCAGAGGACGACGGGGCTGCGTATTCAGGCCCTCTGGCGCACAGGGCCCCTGCCATCCGCTGCCCATGGAGCCACAGTGGGCGGGGCCACCGACGAACACCTGGCGAGGTTCCGCTCCACAGCGGCCATGTTCTGCAGTGGCTGCAGCGGGGTAGGCTCCGATTTCATTTCGCTGCCCCTCGCCTCGCAGCGGGATCCCTAATTACCTCGACCCGATCTTCGATGCCACCATGCTCCCAGCCATGAAGCATTGCAATTCTTTACGCTTCGCGTATCCCCACCAACCCATCTCACAGCAGCAACTCGTGCGAAGCATGCCGACAGTCGTGTTTTTTTCGGCGTGTGTCCGCTTGGCCCCGCATATCTCCCCTGTTCCTCCTTCCTCCCGCCTCCTTGTACATCCTCCTTGTGGGGGGAGCGGGAGAAGGACGAGGCGGAGG